CCCCCCCCAGAACTGATCCGGGTCCGCCGGCCGCATTCAGCCGCGTCCTCTCTCTTGACAAGTGGAGAGGCCTTTCACCGGAGAATAGATGGAGTCAGTAAGGTGGGGCGCGTGATTGACAGCCCTGTTGAGGAAAGCAAAGCCGGCTCCCGTTTCCGTTCCGATCTGTGCCGGGCCGAGCGGGGCGCAGCGGCCCCCGCTGACCTGCTTTGTTATTCCTTTTTTTCCAGCTCGGATCAGGGATCAGCCAGTCTTCAGGGGGAGGCTAAGAATGTGTTTGTTAAGCTTTGTTTCCGAGGCAGATTTGGGGTCAAGTGAGGTTGGAAAGGGACAGAGCAAGCTTGAGGCAGAGTGGGGGGGGGGGGGGGGGGAAAAAAAAACACCCCCCGGCATGGGGTTTTTTGTTTGGGGCTTGTTCTTTTTTTTTTTTTTTTTTGCACAACCTAGAGCATTTCGACTTTCTGCTGTTTTGTACTTTCAGTTCACCATATGGGGTATGAGCAGATGAAGATGTCACCTCCAAAACATACAAACCACCTTATGTTGGCTTGGTAACCTGTCCAACGTGTACCAACAGCTCCAATAGGTCCAATTGTGAGGAGAGTTTCTCATTATTTACACCAATAGCCCAGTGATAGTACCATAATGACTCTCACTCCCCTGTTTCTTAACCTGCTGATGCTACCCGGGTTCTATTTAAATGGCAGACTTTAAGAATAACAGCAGACATAATGAGTGAATGGAATTTCCTTACGCCATTGTCTATGCAGACCATTTTAATTTTCATTTACTTAAATTCTAAGTGAGTATACAAGTCTACATTAGCCTGTGAATAGTAAACCTCTAACAGAAAGTGAGGTTTGGATTGCACAGCCATCCTATAATCCTACCAACTGCTGGATACAATAATAATCCACTTAGGAGTTTTTTTTTACTTTGAGGTATTTCTACTTTTTTGAACATAAAGGATAAGTCTAGTTTTTCATGTGTACCTAAGGGCATCAAATATGAATTTAAATCATCTATGTGACTGTAAAAGGAATTCTGTGTCTATTTGAGTGCTGCGTTATTGCCGGCGAACATAGCAGTTTGGTTAATGAGTTTCAAATACAATGTCTGAGTAATCTTGTCACCCTGACATCATCACATCCTGAATGTTTACTCAATAACTTGTAACTCAAACCAAATACCGATACTACATCAACCACTGGTTGGTAGGTGTGGTCACAGCCCTGTTTAACAAAAAAAAAAAAAGGGAGACAAAAGTAATACCATAACTGGAGACTACCGCTGAGAATGAAACCCGCTCAGCAGGTTTCACCATCCATGTTCACATTCTACCCATTCTTGCTGAGCAACAATGTCTGAACCCTGATTCAGATGCCCTGGACTGGAACAGACTGTGCCCGGATACATCTGCTTGTGGGCATCCAGCATGAGTCACGGCACCTGTCTTCCCGGCCTCCCTCGTATCGATCTAATTAGCTCCCGCCTTACTGTAACGTGGTCCTATTTCAGGCTCCAGCACCAAGGCGTCGTATGTTTTGGTTTCACACAAGGCACAAGCACATTTCTGCCGTTTCACCTCGACCAAAAGTGTTTACAGATGCTCAGATTTCAGCCTCAGTCCTCCCACCAGCGCACATACTGTAACAAGCATTGCCGCCGGGCTATTTTTGTTGCAAAGGACGTGTGGGAGTCCCCGTGTTTACCAGCGGCTAAGGGGTGAGCCAAACTCGGCTGTCTGCACTCATCCCTCGACTGCTGGGAACTGGCTGGTGCAACAGTTTGGTTTTAAGTGCAATCTAAGAGTCCTGACAATGCCGCGCTCGGTTTGTTGACTAAAGTTACCCCTAAAGGAAAAACACCAGGTCCGATGTGTTCCATGAGTGTAGTAGAACAAAAGCAATCAAACTCATATCTGCAGAGAATTTTCCAAATATTCTGTTGCTCTGTCTGTGCTCAGGGTGTTGACCAGAAGAGTTTACACGGTTACTAATTTAGAATGTTTTCCTTTGACCGGCTATCTGGCCGGGGTGTACCCTGCCTCTTGCCCAATATTAGCTGGAATAGGCTCCAGCCAACCTGCAGCCCTACTAGGAATAAGGGGTTGGGATAATGGGCGATTGGGTGTTTTCTTTTATTGTTGATATGAGCCTATTATCTTTGTTACAAAGCTTATTAAGCTAAGTACTGAGCTCAGTAGAACTCCTGGCAGGACTTCATACAGTGAACTGAAGAAATTAACCATATAAAAGAGAATAAGACAAAATGATGTACATATATGACTTTCTTAGCTACTCTGATAAAGTTATATCTTTTCATTTCACAGTTCTGTGATTACAACACTTTAAACCTATATGCAGATATATAGTACAAATTCAAAAAAGAACTCAAGTATTTTGCTGCATTCTTTCTTAATAAACTTTCTTCCTGAGTTGAATGAAGGCATGAAAGGAAATTATATAAATTAAATAAAGTATTTATTCTAATACGATCGTCTATTGTCCAGTAGTACCATTTTATGGTTTCAAGATTTAAAAGCATTATAGGTGTTATCTTCCTTTCATTTGTCTTCATTGCAAATCAAACAAGATCTGCTGTAAACATGAAAGTTCAATACTCCATGGCAGTGTTATTTTTCACTTTCAAATTAAGAAAAAAATCCTTCAGCACCATGTGGGTTAATGCTCATGTAGGTTGAAGCATTTCCTCTGCATGCAGCCCTTTTGTGCTGTGTTTGGGCTTTGTACCAGGCCCCCCCTTTACCCACCACTTAGCTCAGCCCCTGCTGCTTTGGGCTCCTGCACAGATGGTATCATTTCAGCCATTTCTTTTTTTTTTTAAATCCATTTCATTCCATTTATTTTAAAACGTCTGCGCAAATATCTCTCAGTTGACTCCTGAGGCTTTACAGTCCCACCATCTGAACCTAAAAGCCCCAAATAACCCCAATGGCGCACGTGGCCCTGCTAAATCCATGTGCTTGTGTGCGTAAAACTGACACCAAAAACAACAATCACGGTCATGGCAAAGAGCTTTTCTCCGCGGATGGTCGCTAACGTTCCAGGATGTCAGATCAGGAAGGTGTCAGGGAAGCACCGGCTTGCACATTTTCCAACTCTCCGCACGTGCGGGACATCGGTCCTCGTTAGAGAGGGACGTGGACACAATGCCCCCCCCCCCCCCTCCATTGGTCGCGGTGCTTCCCTCTGCCCGCCCTCCGACACCAGCGTCGCAGCGTGATTGGCTTCCCCGGGAGCCGGAGCCGTGGGCCGATGGCTCGGGGTGCTGAATATTCATGGCCCGCCTCTACGTGCCACGGAGGTGTTTCTCATCCGAGCAGAATGTGGTGATGCAACCCCGGGCGCTTCTCTCTCTGCCCAATTAACCTCAGCGTGGAACAACAAGACTGAGAAACCACGCGGTAAGCCAAGTTTTTTACGCGTTTGCTGGGAGCTATCTGTTATTTAGGCTTTATAATTTGTGGGGGGGGCGCGTACACACGCACTCCGGTGCAGCTGCAACCTGTAACCTGGGGGGTGGGGTGAGGTGTGTGTGTGTGTGTGGGTGGGGGGGGGGGGGGGGGGGGGGTGGTTAGGCACCAGTCTCAGAGCTCTTCCGTGTGCTATTACAGGTCATCGGGATCGGGTTTCAATCAGAGGAACGAGTCAAACAGGTTGGCACCGCCTCAACCACCTGTTCGGGCCTCTATAAAACCCACGAGCCCGGAACTGCTGCTCAGACAAGAAGAAGACGGGGCACGAGCGCAGACACGGGAAACAGAACCTACCCGGCCCAACTTTATAAAAAGCGCAGAGGAAAGAGACGCTCGAAAACCACGAAAAGAGAACTTTCAACTCTTCCCTGAACGCAAAGAAAAAAAACAACAACCAAACCCCAACGACAAAGATGATGATGCAGCAGCAGCTCTCCGAGACCCCCAACCAGAAGAACTCCCTCTTCAACGCCATGAACCGCTTCCTCGGCGCCGTGAACAACATGGATCAGACCGTCATGGTGCCCAGCCTGCTGCGGGACGTGCCGCTGGACGAGGAGCGGGAGATGAGCTCCCTGAAGTCGGACATGGACGAGGGGGACATGTACAGCTACTACCAGCTGCTCAAGTCCATCCGCAGGGACATCGAGTGGGGGGTCAGGTGCGCCGCGGCCGACGAGAGGCGCAAAGAGAGCATGAGGGTCACCCGCACGCACTCCTCCGCCTCCACCTCCTCCTCATCCTCATCCTCCTCCTCCTCTTCCTCCTCGGCGTCGTCGTCGGAGGAGGAGTGCGAAGAGGACGAGGACCTGCAGAAGCAGTTCCAGTTCCACCTGACCGGGCTGCAGGGAGTGCTGTCCAAGCTGACGCAGCAGGCCAACTGCCTGACCAATCGCTACAAGCAGGAGGTGGGCATCGGAGGATGGGGCCAGTGAACGCACCGCAGCTCGCCTTAATGTGTTTTTTTTTTTGTTTTTTGTTTTTTTGGTACAAACTGCTGGCTGCTGACTTTCCTTAACACGACTTTCTGTTTCTACTTCTTATGCTGCTACTACTGATGAAATGAACAAACTTTTGAATGGAGGGGAAGTAAGCAGCCCTCACGGTGTCGGTCCAAACTATTGGCTGTGGATGTGTTGATCCTGAAGAGAAAGCATACACTTTTTTTTTTTGGTTTGTTTTTTTTGTATCCTACTTATCACTAAACACGATTTTTGCACTCCACTACGTTGTGCGCTATGCATTCGGGTCACGTGATACACAAATGAAACGTATTTAAGCCTCTATTTAATGTATTTATTGCTTCACGCTGTATGCTCGAGAGCCAAATGTTATTTCAAAGGTGGAGAGGAAGTGGTCTGTGTGATGAGGCCGTCTGAACCCAGTGCAATACCGACGGATGACTTGGCATCCTCTCTGTGGTGATAATGATGTCGGTGTGTTCAGATGGTTTATGTTTCTTAGCTTTTTTTTTTTTTTTTTTCCAGTATGTCTGTCTTTTTTTTTTGTTTCGTCCTTTGCTTGGAAGGAGGCAGACGCTAACTGTAGCTGCCCTTGATCTCCTCATGTCCTACATGGTCAGTGAACTGGAATTGAATGATCTTTCTCCTTTTGTTGAGAATAATGAGGGTTTCCATGAGATACTGTACTGTTGTTGTTGTCATTTAGCCCATTTAGTATTAATACTTGGTCTGTCTGTCAAAACAAGTAGACACTTTTGTAAGACTTATGCACTGTTATTTTTTTTTTTTTTACTGATTATGTTAATAAACTTTTATACAATTGTACATCTTGTGATGAATCCTTTTTACATTGGAGGCCTATTACAAAACCACATGTTGCTTTAGAAGAAAGATACCGGAACAAAGGATTGCTATGTGTTCCTACATTCCATGGTGGATCGTCTAAAAAAGGAACCTTGCAAGTTAATGCTGAAAAGTTTTCTTTTCAGCATTAACTGCATTTTTTTGGTATGTTTGAGAAACTTCTACACAAACCCAAGGCTTCGCAGGATCTCCGCAGGAATTTGTCAGTCGATGTAACATTTAAAGCTGAGACGCATTTCTGATGTCCACCGAAACTCAGCCGAGAGAGAATCAAGTTTTCATTCATCGGCCTTCAGTTGTAAACCTGCAACATTTATGAGAAACTGTCTAGTGGGGCCAGTACGGCCATTTTTATCTCCTAACACGTCAGGCATAGACACGTAAGTGATAAGAAAAAGCTAACTTCAAGTTCAGACATCCTGTTTACACCTTTGATTCCTCTTGACCAGTTTTAATGTTCTAAAAAAATATGGATCTGTAGAATCACTGTTCTACAAGATAAAGCTGTTTGTTAGAAGAAAAATCTTTGATTATAAAAATGGTGGACGGTGCAGTTTGGATTCATCAGTTCTTATTGAGCAGAGATGCAACTCTGATAAGTGGCACTTATCCACAGAAAAATCTGTGACTGAGAGATGAGTAAATGAAAGATTATGCTATCTATGATGACCCACAGTGTGCGCCTTTCACTTCCGGGTGTTTTGGCTCTTTGATAATATGAAGAAAATGTTGTGAGAGCTTTGGTTATCACCTTTCTGGATCCAGTTTCCTACCACAGAACGCCACCAAATAAGGAACGCTTCTGGCAAGTGAGGAAAAACACTAACAGTTGTGGAGATATGTCTCGGTATGTGGAAATTTTTAAATGGGTGGCTTAGTAACATATTTATTTTAAAATACAATAACAGGAGCCTTTCTAATCAGTGAAGACATATCAAAACAAAAACTAAAGTAACTTTTAGTAGCTGATTGACTTTTGGTTGATAGAACTCATTCAGAAGCTGCAAGATTTCATAATATCAAATGATTGATGTCTAATAATCTATGGCCTTCAAAACTGTGGCTAAAATTTAAGTGGTTGTACTTATAGTAGCTACATCAGACTGACTGCTGCAGCTCTGCTGTATTTTTATAAAAAATTTAGCCTGTTCAAAGACATTGACTTTTTTTTTACATCAATAAAATCAGTCTTTGGGTTTCAGAGCATTGCCGGTATAAACCGACAATGCAAGCAAGACAGAGATCTCTCTTGGTCTCTGACGGGGGAATTCTCAGCTTCTCTTATCAACTGGATACAGTTAAAATCCAAGGTTGAGCCTAGTAAGTTTTCTCAGCATGTGGGTATTTCATTTCATTGCTTAGTTGTATTCACCACTTATGGTTGCACTTTATCCTGCAAATGACACTCTTGAGGAAATGAAACTGCAGAAGAAATCCATCATCGGTCGATCATTTTGGTCATCCATCCAGCCATTATTCCCAGTGGGGTCGCAGGGGGCTGGACACAGGGGGAAGAGGCAGACTCCACACAGAACCGTCCCGGTTCCCCACAGGGACTGGAACCGGGACCCCTCTAGCTGTGAGGTGACTGTGCAAACCAGCAGCAGAACTCATTCAGGTAAGGAATGCTGCCTGTCAGCTCAGATTCAAGAGGGAGCACAATGAGTCGTCAGGGCTCTGAAACCGAAGTGTTTGCGGGGAAACTTTGACCCGTTCAATGATATTGCACTTGAAAGACCATTTTGAATTTCTAAGAGGAGAGTTTTTTCCAAAGGGTGTTTCTGTACACAGCGGCTGTGCAAATAAAACATTTGATAAATGGTTTGATCACAATCGGCTTCACACAGTGAAAAGATCATGAGTATAAGATCTTAGGAGGGTAATGCGACAAGTGCATAGGAGCACTTAGTATAATGTAATCACAATGTTTACTTTTAAAACGTTTTAAAGAGAGAAAGAAATACAGTTTTTTCCATGTATGCTTGTGTCTGCAAGTGTTGTATTATGTAATGCCTCGCCAAGGGAATAAATGTAAGAAGGAATACCGGATTATCTCCATTGTTGTCCAAGTAACTCACAGTGACAGCCTCAAAGAGCAGTGGGTGCAGCTAGGCCTCCAGTATCACAATAGTCAATAGCATGCAACACACCCACTTTCGCCCATGATTCTTTCCCTTTTTTCCTCTCACACATGCACGCATAATGTAGCACAAAAAAAGTGCCGAAATCATGCAAAGATTTCTTGATAATTAAGTTTATTCCCCATCTGACTGGAATTACATTAGCCGGGAGAGTAAAAGGCCTCTTAAGTCTATTAATCTCATTGGAGGCGCCACAGAGGACACTTTAAAAATAAGAATTGCTTCCGTTTTTTTATTTTTTATTTATCATTCAAGATATCAATTTTAAGAGAACTGCTTCCATGCTTTTGTTTTATTTATCTTTTGTTTGGTTACCAAATGAGCAGTGATTTAGCAATCACCTTTTATTTGCCGCAAAAGGCGTTATAGACTGCGAATTTTGCAGTGAACTAAGTCAGAGGAAAAGAAGCTCCTGGAAACATTTGAACAGACACACCTTGTAAAATAATTTTTCTCTTCACTGTGCTGTTTACAAGAAACGAAGCTTGCGCTGCTTTTGTTATTGTATTTGAACAATGTAACATGTTTGACAGCATTTATCTGTGGATGAGATTGCTGGTTTCTAAATGTAGCCCTTATCATAAAGGTGATAAAGATAAAGGTGAATGTCAGTGGGTATTATTGCACAGTATTTTTTCAGGATTCCATACTGTATATATAGTGTTGATTGAATACTCATTGTTTCTTTTTCTCAAGATATGTCGTGTATTTTGATATTTCTAAGTAATGCATAGGTATATGTACAAATATAATAATAGGTGTGTGGACACTCACCATAGAAAAGTAAGTCTTCATAATTTGTATATAATGCACTTGGATTATGAGGAGCTAACAAAGTAGGCAAATCTAATCTGACATTTTAGGTTTCATCCTATGCAAATATTGAATCAAAATGGTGACTGAAAAAGTGCTGAAATGGGAGCAGTTAATTATTGCAGTTAAACATTGAATTACTATAGCCAGCCATATGATTATAAGTGTCTGATCGATTAAACTAATAGTACAAAAATAATGAGTACTTGTTGATTACATATTGCAAAAATATGAAAGCAGACAGTAAAGCAAACATAAAGTGTTATGTCAGAGTGGTTTGACAGCATTTCGTGCTGCCAGGTGGCTTTTGTTGTTCATGGTGACATAACTTCTTGCATAACGTATGCTTTCAATGGAAAATTATGGATTGTGAAGTTCTCATTGTTTATAATCTATATAAAGAATTAAATAACTCGAAATATGTCAAAAGCAAAATTAATCTGATCCTGTTTTTTTTCTTTTTAAAGTAAGAAACAAACAACGTAAACTAGTATTTTTTGGAATGGTGATTTTATTTAATTGAAATTTAAAATTTTCGCAAAATGTGTTAAAATCCTAGCGGTTTCTATGTTTTACTTTTTCATTTTCAGGAAACCAAAGCAACAGACAAACTGATAAAATAGTCCTGGACCTCTGAGTCATGAGGTTTGCAAAACTCTGACCTTTTCTGTCCCTTCGCGCGCACTGTAGAACCAGGAAGTACATGGAGGGCTACAACAAAATAAAAATAAACTGTCCAGAAATAATTGCCTGACAATTGTGCCTTAAAAATGGATGGTCAGCGCTTAACGTCACAAAACAACGAATCACGCTGTGTATTTTTTAATGGACTGTCAGAGGATTATCGATGTGTAAGTAGCCAGCGTCAGCGTCATTTTAGTTTTAGCTTTCTTGGCAATTAGCTAGTTAGCTTTTATAACGTGAAATAGCTATCTTATTTTAGGGCTGTGGGGCAATATTTTCCCGAACTGATTTTGCATAGTAATACACTAGTTGACTGACTACATGTTGAATCGAGCTTTTATGGTTCCTGGGGGTGACAATAGGACTGAAGTGTCAGCCATCTGAACATGCTAGCTGCGTTACATCTGGTGCAGCAACCCACAAAGCAGGGTCCTCTGCTTCCCGTGCTTTAGAATCTCACAGAATCTCATGAAAAGGTGAAATTTAACGTGACAAACGTGGCAACATCTTGTCATAAAACTTGCCTTTCAGTGACTATGGTCGATTTGAATGACCCAAAGGGAGCTGTTTGAATACAAAACCTCAAAAAACTAATACGTTTTCTAGAGTTTCCAATCCCTCTTAAATATATGAGCAATTGACATCCTGTTTGTATGTGCTTGCCACTAAATTTCTAATGGTATACTCATTAATATTATATCTATACATTCATTGTATAGAAAAAGAACTCAAGAAATCCTTAAGTTTAGTTTTATTTGAATGAAATCCACGATATGATAAGGCCATTCTTTCATAAGAAATGTATCCTAAATGATAGTCATATTTTCCTTTTTTGTTTCCAATTAAAATGCCAAACATTTCCTTGCCCCCTCCCACCCCTCACCCCCACCTTTTTTCTTTTTCTTTCTTAGAATTCTTTTTTACTGCCAATTCGTGGAGTCCTGTCCTGTCAAGTGTCGAAGAACAAACTGATCATTTCAGTCAAACGTGTTAAAACACGGTTCTCCTGGCAAGATTTTACAGTCTGGTATTTTGTGAAAAAAACAAAAACTATAATAGATAAATGAATATATATTAATGTAAAATATATTGGTGAACATGATTCAAATGTTTTAGTATCTGGCAAATAATGAGCACTATTTATGGAGGAGCTTATAAAAAGTGCATGGTCCCTGCTTTTTTTTAACATTCTAGTTTAGCTTGTTATGGAATCCCACCCCCCCCTCCTTTCAGTTTTGTTTCAGTAGGAAAATGTCTGTTATATATATCTTTTCGTAAGTCTTTTGTCTCTCGCTTTGATTTAATATGTGGTGCTACATTATAAAAGGACTCCAATGCATGTGAGGATAAATGTCAAATATCTGCTGTTTTTTTTCTTTCTTTTTTTTTCCATGTGATAAATGATGCTATAGCTTTGAATAATGTAGGTTATCAAATTGATCACTGCTCTTGTGACTGTCCCGTGCAGACACATGTTGAATGTTTATGAAAAGCCGAAGCGATGGCGTTCCAGATCTGAATGGGTGGGCATGTCCTTCCCCTGCTTTGCATGCAAAGACAACTGCTGGCCTTTTCATTTTCCGCTCCAGCCGACAGGACTGAGTCACACGCTTCTCATTCTCGTCATTCCTCGTTTACCTTCCCTCCCCTGCATCTTTCTGTCTCTCTCTCTCTCTCTCTGTTCTCCGGGGGTTAATGTTTAACAAGCATGTAGCGGGTCAGGTTGGAGCCTCATTATCACATCTGCCTGCATCTGCATTTCTTCCCCCCCCCCCCCTCCCCCCCCGGCTGCCCCTTTCCCGCTCCTCTTTGTTCTCGGCATTCCTTTTGCTTTGTTTTTTTGGGTCTTAAATGGGTTGAAAACATGAGGACGTGACATTCGAGAGCACCTCAGAGTATGCGGTGCAGATGTTTGTGTTTTTTGATGCTTGGGTTCCTAGAGTACAGGTCTCATGGTGTCCTCCCTTGTCTCTCTGACATGTTTGCACACACACGTACGCAGACAGACAGAGAAGAACGAGCAGAGGTCCTCTAAACCCGACTGAGGCCAAGCTGGCGATTGCAATGATCACAGAACAAAATTTGCATAGCTCTTTTGAACATGACTGCTTTCTTTGAAAACAAATGCAAAACAGTCAACTAACCACTGTACGACGATAAATTTATTTATTTTATTTTTGCATTCATTGGATATGAGCCATGGAATAATCTGTGTTTTCTCGTTTACAGGTGGTGATTTTATCAGTGAAACGAGCCACTGGAACCTTCTCCTTAGTGGGATGGTGAATATTTCTTTTAAATCACATTTCCCTTAAATAATTCACCGTCTTAAAGCACTGATTTGTATTTCTGTATGCAGAACAAAGTGTTTTATTTAACAGCCGCTCACAGGAGCAGTTGTCTTTGGTGCACTTATCAGGTTTTTAGTTTACAAAATGATTTTACCTAGTAAAATTATTCAGTAAACAGTTTGGCCTAGTTTGGGCAAAAACCCTGAAAACAAATAGCTTGTCAGGCCACAACTTTTAGTCGGATTCTGAACTTAAAGGAGTTTGAAGCAGCAGAAATAATCACAGAAAAACTTTCAGAATTCCAAAATTAAGATGATTTTTTTTATTGATGTGAAAGGGACTTTTAGAACCAACAAATCGTCATAGCTAACATACAGACCCGCATTTTCAAATATATTTTGTTCCAGATTTTTAATCGGCAGATAGAAATGTCTTATTCAGAGCAAAAAAGCTGGATGTGTTAACACTTCGGTAACTCTGCGGTTTTAGAAGGCTTTTTAAAACAAAGCTTTATCTCATTATATGTGAATAAAGCTGGTGGGGACAAAAATGACCATAACGCTGGATACGCCGTCGGTCTGTTTGACTGTAAATGATGATGTTGATTGTGGTTCTTACATTTAGATATAAAGTAAAAAGGGATTGTTTTGTCAGCTGTAGACATTTTATTCATCATAAAACATATTTAAGGGACTCGAAGGTGAGATCCAGATGCTTTCAGGCTTCTTGGGACCATCTGTCCCAGATGACTAGGATAAATCATGGAGATCCTTGGAGATAAAAAACAAACAACCAACCAAACGCGCCCCTCTTTAACCGTTTTGGTTGCTCTGCTTTCTGCCGGCGTAGAAAACCAATCAAAGAAACACCCCACGGTGTACTGAGGAAGAGAAGGTGACCCGGGCACGATCCCCCCCCTCCACCCTCCTCTCAGCCTTCCTCTGATCAGCTTCCCCCCCGACCCTAATCGATGGCGATATTCTTAGGCTAACCAACTGAGCACCCCATGCATGATTTGCTGTTCAATTAGCTAGAACCTTCCCCAGGCGGAATAATGAGCTTTCAGCAGACACTTGCAAGAGGAAAAATCTGCAGATCTCTGCATCTAATTAAAAAATGTCTTAAGGTAACAAAACCAGCATGATTTATACTTAATTTCACTAATGATGACATCTCTCTTATGAATATTAAATTTCCGTCAACAGAACCTTCACAGATTTAAAAAAAAAAAATCTTCACATCCAAAAGTCTTGAAATATCAGCACGTTTCCATATACCTTTGAAAGTTTTACCTTTTAATTAGATGCGGCTCGGTGTGTGGAGCGTAACAAAGAGGAGCGGGGTACTGTAAGCAGAGGCTGGATGATTGATTCGCCGGTGGGCGCGGTGGTAGGCGCGGGGCGTGTCGGGGTGAATGGAACGGTCAGACCCCACGTTAACCTCTCCGGCTTAATCTTATCATTTGTATTAACCCCGTAATAAATACAGCGTCTGTAAAGCTTTCAGCCGGCCTCGGCGGGGGGTGTTTTTTGTGTCAGAGGCGTTGGGCCCGCGCCACACCCCGCATTGTCCATTGTGGTAACACCGCGTACAGTGAAAACACACACTGGAAAGCTCACAAAGGCTTTGCAAATAAAGCGCTGACGGATTTTGGACTGTGGACATTGAGGGGACAATGTGTTTATTTTTACTAACCGTCTAAGAACAGAAATAACTCCACAGACCTTTTTGTCTTATTTCCCGCTTGTGCAAACAGAAGTTTGGGCAGTCTGAATTCAATTTGGAGAGCATTATTACTTGTTTTGCAGCGCAGTTAAGACTTAAGTTGATACAAATAATAATTCCACCACTGATCAAAGCATTGCCCATTCAACGTGTTTTTTTGTTTTTTTTCTGCTCTCTCCTCAGCATTTTCATGCTGTTTGTAATCTGGCTCCTACGGAGGTACCACTCTTTGGCTCAGGTAAGCTGGAACTGCTCTGCACGGTGCACTCAGACGCTCCGTTTCCATTTCTCTTTGCTCCATTTCCAACCGGAAATACGTTCAATTAGCCATGGCAAATCTTGGCATAATTGAACCCAATTAAAATGCACAGATTAATGAATTGGGGGTTTAATTGACTCACGGTAATTCTGTGATAGCGGCTGCCTTTTTTTTTTTTTTTTTTTTTCCATCCCCCCCACGCTCTTCAAATAGGAGTGGTTGAAGTAAATATTAAAGGACATTGGATTTTGTGTTTGAGGATTTTTTTTTTCTCCCCTCCCCCACCTCTTTTTTTTTTTTTTTTTTCCTTTTTGCAAAAGGATTCCCATTTTTTTTCTTTGGGGTGTTTTTTTTTTTTCCTTTTTTTTTTTTTTGCATTTGCAGCTCGGGGATGAGGTTTTGCTTTTGAAGCCGGTCTGTCAGGTTTAGCACCGCTGCATGTTATCCTCCTAATCTGAAATAAATGACAGCTTAACGTGGGGCTCTGATGGATCCCATTACCTCCGGACCACACTGCACAGAGCAGCCTCACGGCCTCCCGATCCTCACCCCCCCCCCCCCCCCCCCCCCCCCCCCCCCCCCCCCCCC